TGTGCAGAAGCTTTTTATCTTGATGAAGTCCCAAAAGTTCATTTTTGCTTTTGTTTCACTAGCTTTTGGAGATGTATCTTGAAAGAAGTTGCTGTGGGCGATGTCTAGATTGGTCATCTTGAAGCATGTTTAATTTTACTCAGGATGTGGAATCAGAATTGTTTTAATTTTTTCAAAAACTGCTTGTGTTCAATGACTAAGGGAAATTAATCACACTGGAGTCAAAGCAAACTTACTAAGTGGTAGCACAGCATAGTGGAGAAAGCTTACTCTTTGAACTCAAGCTACTCACTAGTTACGAGATTCTTGACATTTGGATGTTGGTTTTTCATCTCTGTCTCTAAAGTGAGGGAACAGTAACATCTACCTAATTGTGTTATGAGAATTAATGAGAAAACCCAGGTTAAGCATTTGTTATGTTGGGTGCTTATTAAATCTTAGCTCTCATTATTAATTAGTGACAATAATAATATGGTTTTCCCCACATTTGTGGTAAGTATATACATAATTTGACCTTAAATGTTTTTTCTAGATTACAAGAGATGTGCTAGATTGCTAACAAGATTAGCAGTGAGTCCCCTGTGCTCACAGACCTAGAAGACTTGCCTTATGAGTATGTATTTATTTATTTTTCTTATTCTATTTAATAAGTTAACTTTCTTAAGAAATTTTGAACTATTTAAAAAGCCAGGTAGCTGATTTTAGCAACATCTAATGACCTTAATCTGTGGATTTTTCACTTAGTGTTAAAGCTTGGTCTAAATGCATAGATTGCTTTATTGAATTAATTAAAAATGCCCTCAACAGTGATTAAATTAAGTAAAATAAACAGCTTTTTGGCAGCCTTAACAGTCCTGAGTGATTTTTAAAAATATTTCAACTTTTGGGGTTATATAATTATTGTGCAGAAACCTTATGCAGATAGACATTAGATGAACAAAACTAAAGCTCTACCTTTTTTTAACTGGTCAAAAGATATAATAAAAGTAGCACTGGGTTCTAAAATTTTTTTTATGCAGGATACATGAACTAAAAGAGAGAAAGTATTGGAAGAGTAAAGGAAAAAGCAAGGGATCAAAAATATGATGAGTATGTAATCATCACCAGCTCTCACATATACTTTGCCAGAGTGAAATCATAAGTCAGAATTTTCATTCTGGCTAAATTACCCTAGGAGCCCTAGGGCAATAAAGTATTTGGATAACCTAAATAAATCTAATGAAAAATATAAAATTTATTTGCAAAAGTAGACTCTATACAAGAGACTGAAAGATATTCTGCCCCTGCCCCCGGGGATTTTTCTACTCAGTAGTTCTTTCCCAGGGCAGAACAAAGCCAACACGTTTTTTGGGTCAGTGTTTCAGCACCACGGACAAGTCCCTTTAAAGAAACAGTTTTTCACAGCTTGTGGGAGTAGAAATGGAAGTCATGGAATTTGTGTAGTATAAAAGTATCTACCAGCGGGGCGCCTGGGTGGCTCAGTTGGTTAAGCGACTGCTTTCAGCTCAGGTCATGATCCTGGAGTCCCGGGATCGAGTCCCGCATCGGGCTCCCTGCTCAGTGGGAAGCCTGCTTCTCCCTCTG